GTGTTGATGGGGAGGCATCTCTCAGATCGTGACGTCTGGGTCGTGTTTTAGACGTGAAATGTTGACCAACTGTCTAAGCTTCAATGTCACTGAAGAATGACAGTGAAATTTTAGATTTGAATATATTAATGGTTCATTATAATATGCTGGATTAATATGAAGCCATATTTAGAAAAAAGAACGTAAATCTTCTAGTCATTTTTTTAACCTGGGAGAAGTTATGCACTCAATACTAACGCTAGTGGTCACGCGGGGTGACGGAGTTACACCAATCTCTCTTTTTTTATTTTTATTTTTTTTAATAATTATTTTTATTCTACACGATAAAAATCGTAATTCCAGGGAATAATTTAATTAACAGAAAGTTTACTTTCCTACTTTTAAGGACTTTTCAATTTTTCTTTGATAGTTTTGTGACATGGTCGATCTTCGTCGACCATATCGTGGGGTTTCAGTGTAAGTTAGAGGTGTGGGATTCTCGAAATGATGAGACATTTTAGAATTCTTAATATGACTTTTATTAAGAGATTAACTTAAATTACTTATATATCGAACAAACTTATATTAAGTGAGAATAAACCAAATACGTAGTCGTAGTTAACACAGATCGCGCAATTGGATCACTTATCTATATAATTATATTATATCCGCCTGGTCTCAATCCTAATAATATATTCGCATTCAGAATATAATCTTCCTACCTTGAATTCTAAGCAACGGTCCAATCCACTTCAGATATTCATCTAGGCTCGAGTACAACGGTATGTACCTTGAATGAATGGCGAGATTTCCGTGATTCTTGGGTAGGCCGTCAATTTACGCTTCTACCTTTTCTGAACTGAACTTTCTCTAAATTGCCATCGCGCTCACTAAAACTTCTGTCCTTTTAAAGATTATCTTATTTGCATCTATCCTTCGTTTCACTTCTTGGATTTGGGTTGGAAAAGATTTGCCATTAATCGTGGCCGTCAAAGAACACAGAGGTTATGTTAGAGAAAGGACGCGTGAGCCGTCACAGTTTGTGAAAAAATCCAATCAAACTGAACTAAAATGTTTCACCCTCCCAAGTCCTGCTGATTACCTCGTCGTGGCGGGAGGGTGTTCCTGGACGGAATGGTGGAAATACGTTGGGAATTCGATCCTGGAAGGGTCATTCTAGACGTGAAGGCCATTCCATTATGTCCAGCTAATTAATCCAGTTTCATTAATTGTTTGAATAAAAATAAGGAATTGTAGGGCTTCTACACCCCCCTCTTTTCTTTGAAAAAGGGAAATATGCCTCCACATATGTCCGATACTGTATATGTTATCTACTGTTTATTGACAAAGGGGAGGATAGAAAACACAGGAAAGACGCCAGGACATTCAGGGGGAGCGCCATCCGTATTTAGCTTAGCCTAGACAACCAACCTCATAGAAGAATTATCACTCAGGATTGTAAATTATGTATTTATCTGAAGAAGGAAAACCCCTGGATAGTTTAGTTTATGGGAACCTATGCTGATCATCCCCTTGATACATAATGACGCCTATGAGACGCTATTCATTTCATCTGTCTGTAGATTTATGTCTCTCAGACGACAAGAACTGGCTGCCGGGAACTGTCTCGGCTGCGAATCAGTGCGCAATTGTTTTGTTTCACACAAATACTCCTTTCCTCCATTATCAACGGTTCTGGAAATTCGTACTTCCGGGGAAAGAGAACAGGGTGCATTATACTTCGTTTTATTTGCATGTCAAAGAATTAACAAAGAATACGTGTTGTTGAATCAGATCTTTGGGAATAACACACACATACTCCTCAAAAAGGCAGACAGGGCCGGCTCTAGCAGTTTTCCCGCCCCGGACAAAAATGGAAAATGGCGCCCCTTTCAAAAGCATTATATATTATACATATATATATAATCCTAAGCCTAAAATACAAAATAATTCGAAATTTACCACATTATTACTGTTATGATTCACTGGCAGTGGTAGTACTGAGTGCAGTGGCGCACACAAGACTGGGTCCGGACCCCAAAGCACTTTGATTTTTCGATTAATTATATTTCTAAGTCATATAGTACGTAAAATTTAATTAAATATGTTATTAATGATTAATTTTAAAATAATGCTACTATTTATTCAATAATTAGTTTTACTGTTTTGTTCCCGGAATCAACAAAATCAATAGAAGCATGATACAAGAATGGTGAACTTTCAAATCTGACCCCCACTTGATAATATTTCTGTGTGCGCTACTGACTGAGTGGGTCCTGTTTTCAAATTCCTAGGGGACTTTTTTTTGGGGGAGGAAATGGAGGTGCTTTACATATTACGATGTTTTGCTTGCACATTTTGGGGCCTCGTATCACTAATATATCGAAAGCTACTCCTTTCTTATGATTTTAAACAAGTAAAATGTAAGACAAGAAATAACCCGTTTCTGCAGGCCAATTTCTTCGAAAAAGAGTCTATTGAAGGTGGGGATCACAAGCGCTTCTATTTTAACTTATAGTAACTACACTCCAGATTAAAATAAAATATCTCTTGTGGCTCTCTATCTACTAAAAACTCTTATTACTCTTGTCCCCTTTAGAAAGGCTGGCACCGGATATCGATAGATGAAAAGAATGTCCGTTATGACCCTACTCCTGGATGGAGAGAAAGCAGTGGCGCACAAAGGGGGCTGGGGTCCGGCCCCCAAAAGCCTTGATTTTTTTCCGATTGGTTTATAATTCTAAGTATATAATACGTAAAATTTAATTAAATATTTGTTATTAATGATTAATTTTATTAATTAATGCTAATTATTTATTCAATAATTAGTTTTTTACTGTGTTTTGTTCCCGAAAATCGACTAAGTCAAAAATAGCATGGTACAAGAATGGTGAACTTTCAACCCCGGACCCCCCCTTGAAAAATTCCTGTGTGCGCTACTGAGAGAAAGTTACTAGTGAAAAAGTTGTGTAACATATCAAATTTCATAATTTAACATATACTCCCGCCTCAAACCCTTCAAGTTTCAATGTAAAAGAAAACTGACATTTAACGCACAAAGTACAAAATAAGGAAATAAGATACGTTAAATGTTGCACCAAACTCACACGCATAATACTTCAGAAAATATATCACATTTTTTGTAACATAAAAAAATATTTTCCAAATTCGATCCGAATGCCGCCCTTAAAATTTTCCGCCCCGGGCAGGGGTCCGGTTTGTCCGTCCCTTGAGCCACCCCTGAGGCAGAACGCAGCTAAAATGATTTAAAATGCCTTGTTCCAAGTATTTATTAATAATTTTGCTTTGAATAATTCGGTCTAAAATATCTATTATTCTTTTCGAAATTTTGCGGGATTCTTCCCAAGCCTTATTGTTAAATACTGTTTCCTCATTTTTTCTTATATAAAGGCTGAAAAAAAAATTATGGAAGTAAATATTTCTGAAAAAGATATCTTAATTATTTATATTAATACACCAGCTTACTTAAAATATTTTATTTAAAATAAATAATTTTGGAGAAAGATTTGGCGACCGTGATAACCAAGTGGTCAAGGTCAGGGACTTGTGACTGGCGTACTATGAGTTCGAGCCAAGGGCCACAGAAAAACCACCATGTAGAAGGGGCCGCTATACGTTAAATCGCTGAGGCTCAAACATCTTTCCGTTGGTGTGGTGTAAAAGTTAGGAGGGGAGTGCCTGCTCAGGTGTCGTTCTCATCACTTGACCATGGTTCAAAATTACGAGGTCCATTGCCAATGGCCCTCTTGCAACTTTATAGTGCGACGTTAATATAACTGAACTCAGTGGCGCGACAGCCCATGAGGGTTAAGGCCTTACTGTGCCCAACTCAATATACGCGACCTTCGGCCCTGAGGTGCATGAGCAGATGTTCCGGTCATGTGGTCAGTCTGACGTGAAACCCCTAGTGTGAAGTTCCCAAGCCAGCTTGGTACTCATTTATTGACCCACTGAAGGGATGAAAGGCTGATTCAACCTTGCTCAGCCCGAGGTTTGAACCTTGGACCTGTGGTGTGGAAGCGAGATATACTAACCATTCGACCACTGGATTTTCGACGTTAATATAACTTACTCACTATTCGAAGCGTATCTTTATGAAACAAGAATAGTTATTAGCGCCGCACAATAAAACTACACGAGGGCTATTGGCAACTGGCCTCGTAATTTCCACCCTCAGCAAAGTGACGAGGATGACACCTAAACTGGCACTTCTTATCGAATATCCACACCACAGGATCTCTCTTGAGCTCCCATAGATTTAACGTGCATCAGCCTCTCTCCATGGCGGGTTTTCTGTGCCACTGGGGCTCGAACTCACACCACTCCGGTCACGGTTCATGATAGTAACCATGAGGTTCCCGTGGCAACTTTTTCAATTCCTACTATTATATATATATATATATATATATATATATATATATATATATATATATATATATGGGATTTTTATGTTATAGGATTCGTTTTTTATGTTATAGGGATATTTTATGTTATTCGATTTTTTTATTGATTCCTGTGTTGTGATTGAATTATATATATTTAAATATATATATATATATATATATATATATATATATATATATATATATCTTGTTCAAATTTTCAATCGTTAATAAAATACTTTCTATTCATCCATTTAAGTTCAAATACATTTTTTTAATCTTGTAGTGGATAACACTTGATGTTAATACAGTTTTTTCAAATATTAATTCATTAATTATATTTAATTAATGAATAAATAGTAACAAACAAAAATAATAGTGCAACACCATGCATAAAAAGAAAACTCTCTCGTTGTATCCCATTAGCCCAATGGATAGCGCGTTGGACTTCTAAACCAAAGGCCGTGGATTCGAATCCCACCTGGGATGGCCTAATTTCTGAGAATGTAATTTCTTTTTGTTATAATATATTATTGGAATAATTTAATTAATGAATAAATAGTAACAAACAAAAATAATAGTCCAATACCATATATAAAAAGAAAAATTGTTCGTTATGTCCCTGTAGCGCAATAGATAGCACATTGGACTTATAATCCATAGGTTGTGGGTTCAAATCCCACCTGGGATGGCCTAATTTTTGAGAATGAAATTTCTTTTTGCTATTCTATTTTATTGGAATAATTTAATTATGAATAAATAGTAACAAACAAAAATAATAGTCCAACACCATATATAGAAAGGAAAATGGAAAATCGCTTTCTATTTTGCCACTTAACATTGTGATTCTGTCGTATGTGTTGTGTATATACATATTTATATATTAATTGTAATCTATACAAATAAATAAAATTAAAGTGTCTGTTTGTGTAATTTCAAATTAACAGCTTTTTACTTAAGGCATTTAAACGTGTATTCGGTACTTATATCAAAATATCAATTTTTTAAATTTGTGTCTTGTTTCTATTTGTTTCGGCTGATCTTTGAAACAGCTAGAGCGATTTTGACGGGACCTTCACTGGCAGAGAGCTAATGTTATAAGAATAACTTAGGGTACTTTTATTTTAGAAAAAAAAAATTAGGGTTCCGCGAAAACAAAATTAAAACAAATAAAATAGCGAACAATATCCGATTCAAAATGGCGTAACCCCTCCTTGCTTAATCTTTATGTGATTGTGACTGAGCTCAATTAAAATTGCCACTACTTAAAATCTCTTGAGCTAGCCACCGTAGTAAAATTTTTGAGAGCAGTTAGCATTCTTAAATTCAAATCACAAATTAAGAAAAAATCCTGCATTCTGAAATTTATTTTATTTGGAAGACAATATTTTCCTTACGCATTAGAAATTCTTTAAATACGCATTTTTCCCCGCGTTCAAATGTTCTAAATAATAAAAGAACAATTTTTTTAAAAATACTGTAAAAATAAATGTATTTATATAATATTATAGAGATTTATCCATTGTTTTTTAAAAATTTCATTGATATGAGAATAATTGTGGATGTATATTAACTTAACTCAGAGGCGCAACAGCCCATGAGGGCAAAAGCTTACTGTGCCCAACTCTGTATACGTGATCTTGGGCACTGAGGTACATGGGGAGATGTTCCGCGGTCAGGTGGTCTGTTTGACATGAAACCCCCAGTCAACGTTGCAAAGCCCGGGGATTGAACCTTCGGACCTGTGGTGTGGAAGCGCGATACACTAACCACTCAGCCACTGGGCTTCGTACATATATTACTTAATAATAAATTAAAGGTAGAGAGAAAAGGGGAAAAATTCTTATACATTTACACGCACAGTGAAATAAGTTTAACGCAAATGCGCTTTTGACGAAATATCGGTTAACACGAAATAGTGCAATGGTTCCGACAAACGACTATATATTCTCATGCAATTTTTTCTCTAAACACAGAACAAAAATCTTTTAACATGAAAAGATTTTCCTCCTAAGAATGAACAAAATACGGAAAACACCAGCCGCATTGGAATGTCCTATTGCATTATCGTAAGAATTCATTGCAGTAGATGATGATAATATATGTACAGCCCCAATTATGGCAGACAAAAACATTTTGGAGTTTGTTCAAAGCTCAAAAATATCATTGATGCAGATTCCGACGATGAAAATGAAATGAATAATGCAGTTCATGCTCCCACATGATTCGAAATGGAGAGCGTCATGAATAGTAAGCGTAGTTATTAAGACGCACATTTCAATGGTGAAATAAATAACAAACAGCCGATATCGAACAATTTGTCGACAATTTGATGCTAAAAATGCAGACAAAGAAATCAGATAATTTTCCAAAAACTCAATAAATTTTTTTGTTTTTCAAAAAGAAAAAAATTTGTTTTAAAATTTTTTTAAGGGTTTTGACTACGCCGGAATCGGATTTTAAAAGGCGCATAAATTTTTTTCATGATATTTATGTTTAGTTTAAAAATACATGTAAAAATTGTTTTAAGGAATTTTGACAAAAATTATTTAATATTTCGGGAAAAAAAATTAATTAGAATAACCTTTTCAAAATATTCTCCTTTTTTGAAAAATGCTATTTAATATTTTTGTATCTATAGCTGACCTTGTACAGAGGCTGAAAGAAGAAATATATAACAAGAAGTTTTTATTCATGTCAGACAAAGAGGGGGGAAATTTTAAGAAAAAAAACCGATAATTATATTTTGGTGGTAATTTTGAAAATAATGTAATTTTCAAAATTTATTAGTGACCTCTGTAAGAGGTTTGAGCTTTATACAGGCTAAAATTATTATTTTAAAAGCATTTTTTAAAAAGGAGAAATTTTAAAAAAATTTTTCTAAGTTAATTTTGCCGAAATATCTATTTAAATAAATTTTTTTTTCAAAAAGTCCTTAAAACAATTTTATACATGTATTCTAATCTAAATGACATAAATATCATGAAAGACCCTATATGGTTTTTTAAAAACATGGGTTTCCAAGTAGCGATAAAAGGGGGGGAAGGTTTTTTTATTGATTTTTATTAAATGTATGCATATATACTTATCTAAGTAAATAAAAAAAACCTTTGATAAACTTAATTTTATTGATATAAGTTTTTTTTTTTTGTTGTTGTTGCAATATCCTTTAACACGAAAAAATATTTCAGTCCCTTCAGTTTTATGTTAACAGATTTTCATTGTATATTGATATGCTTCTCTTACAAAACATGTTGAAAATATAGAAAAAATTTACAAAAGATTACATTTCCTGTGATATGTTAATATTTTCGGAATGCAAGAAAGTAAAATAAAACGTTACCCATAATAGAAGGGATTTTTGTAAATTTTGTAAGAAACAGTTAATGAGATGAAACAAAATAATACTTATTTATATTGATAAATATTAATAGAGTACTAAACTTTGCATAAAGTATACTTAAAAGAAAACAAGTTTAATTACAGTGAAAATTGTCTAACACAAAATTGTGGCGGCCGAAATATTTTTTCCGAGTAAAAAAAAATATTTAAACAAAATTTTTATTAAAATATATTTTAATTACATAGATATGTGTATATATGCATGTATTTAATAAAAATCAATGAAACAAAAACATTCACAAGACCTTAATGAAATTTAATACAAAATTTTCAAGTTGTTTGAATTTTTGGAAAATAATCTGATATATTTTTCTTTTATTGTTTTTTTTTACCATCAAATTGTCAACAAATTGTTGTTGACATTTTATTATTCATTTCACTATTGGAATGCACGTCTAAATAATTGAACACACTTTTCATGATGTTTCTCATTTCAAATGAGATGGGAGCATGAGCTGCATTATTCATTTCATTTTTGCCGTCGGAATTTGCATCAATGATATTTTTTGAACTCTTTGAGCAAACTCCAAAATGTCTTCGTCTGCCATATAATTGGGGCTGTACATATATTATCATCATCTACTGTAATGAATTCTTCCGATAATACAATAGGACATTCCAATCTGACTGATGTTTTCCGTATTTTGTTCATTTTTAGGAGGGAAATCTTTTCATGTTAAGGGGTTTTGTTTTGTGTTTAGAGAAAAACTGCATGAGAATATATAGTCGTTTGTCGGGACCGTTGTGTATTTTCTACTGCGGTACACTTTTAACAATTTGAAAATTTGGCAGCACACCAAGAATAAAATAGGTTCAAAAATTTTACTTATCTGTATAATACACTATTTAAAATAGTTTATGATAATAATTTTTTTATATTAAACAAATAATATGTACGATAAAGACGAGAAAACGTTTATTGAGTAATTAATTACAAATTAATTATAAGAATGCATTTAAAACGCAATTTGAATTTGATAATTTCTTCTAGACTGGCCGTAAAAATAATAATGCCACTCTCTCATTTCGTCATCTACTTTTAAAAGTGTTGATCTTTTCTGCATTTTTATATTTATTAATGCTGAAAATCCGAATTCACGCAAATAAGATGCACAAAATTGTAAGAATATTTTTAAGCTTTTTTGGCTATTATGGGATAATCGCCTCTTATTTTAATCCAAATGAATTGACTCTTCCGAATGTTTTGAAATTAAATCTTGGTTATTAGAGAGCGAAATAAGTTCTTTTTCTTCATTCAAAGTGAATTCATGTGCAGATGTATCCGTTATCACAAATGGATTACGACCCAATCAAATTTTAATATCTAAAATAAGGAAACTATATATGTTAAATCATAATTTAATTAAGAATTTTAAAAAAAATGGCGACACACAAAAGTGCCACGCTGCACAGTGGTTGAGAATTACTGTTCTATATATATAAAGAGTTCAATTCATCATTTTGTATCAAAGTACCTTGAGTGGATTCTCACACTTTTTGAAATTCCTATTCCTTGAATTTTACTATTCAAAGCATGATTGATCGTTTCTTTGGAAAGTGAAAATATTTCCTGCGCATTATTGAAACTTTCTATCCTTTTATGTCTTTTTATTGATATGTATGTTGCTCTCTATTATTCATTACCAAATAATTCAAATCGGAACTCTTCCACTAAAAGATTTTTTTCTGTTTCCTTACAGAAATTCGGACAGTGAGTGACATTAAGCTTTAGATGTTTAGTATATTTCAAAGTATCATTAAAATTCTCCATCTACTTAAGATACGTATTATAAGCCGTTATTCGTCATCAGCTTTAAGAAAATTAAAGAAAGACTGGTGAATGGAAAAATTCTATTGAGAAAGGATTTATTTTTTCCAGATAGTTGGGATTAGACCTGTAAGTAGAGAGAGAGCCTAAAACTTTAACCGCTTACAGAGGATTAGATCTCTCAGCTTATATAGGAAATATTTCAGTAGATTACACACACAGAAATTCATTTCCGTTAAGGATTTGTATAAAAAGGCTTAGCAGAAAAGTCTATGAGCTACACCTGTTGGAAATGTTAAATGGTTTAAAAAGGGATTAAGAAAGGAGACCTAAATGAAAGTGGAAGGCTTCGGATTGATGTATTTAACATGAAGTCCTGCAAAGATCCGAATGTTTAAGTTCTGTTCAGATTGAGTGCCGGTAAGGACGTTTTAAATTTTCTTGAGGCCTTGGGCTCCTAGTCAAAAGTATGTCCTGGGCCCCTACACAAATGTAGGCCCCACCTATAACACTTAAAGTAT